ACCATACAAATTCACGTGATTAAAACATTAATGAAAATGTTTTTGCAACATTTTAAGAAAATGTTCTGACAACATTTTGCTGAAATATTTCACTAAAATGTTTTAAAAACGTTTAAAAAACCATACAAAATCACGTGATTAAAACATTTTTTAAAATGTTTTCGCAACATTTTGAAGATGTTTTAAAAACATTTTTAAAATGTTTTTGTGTTAACTGGGTAGGCGCTCATCACACTCTATATCTGTGTTCTGTTGTTTATTCACTAAGATACTTAGAATAGAAATATTTTATTTTCGGATGAGTGAAACGAAGGAGAACATAAGGTAAGTTATTGACGAACAAGTTGATAAAACAAGAATATCAGCAGTCTTGTTAAAAGTCATCATTTCGTAAGTACTATGGTCAATACAATGACCTTGTCACCAAGAACAATCTATCATTAAGCCAAATGCTGACTGACCATTCCAAACTATATACTGTTAATTATTTTAATTACACGATGAATTGTCGACGGATTTTTCCATTTTCTGGCTTTTGATTTTGCATATTTAAATTCAGATACTTTACTTCAGAAATATATTATAGGTGATGTCTGCCAACCTTGGGTGCGCTGAGAACAAAAAGTAAACATTTCTATATAATAATTTTACCAAATACCATATCCTTAGGTTACAAAGAAAATATAACTATACACAACTGAATAAATGTTTTGGTACATAATTTCACGTTTGCAGACAATATCTTTTGACATGCTGTCATGAACTGCACAGCCATACATTTCAGGAGAGAGCCTAAAATATGAATGAAGTATAGAAATACTGAACGGTATCAAAATATGAATGAAGTATAGAAATACTGAACGGTATCAAAATATGAATGAAGTACATAAGTATTGAACAGTATACTAGTTCAAAAGTTCAATGAAATGATACAAATCGGGAGCGGATCAAACACAGAAACGTCAGAGGTGGGATCAGGTGCTTTGAAGGAATATGCATCCTCTGTCGACAAGTCACATCCGCTATGCATTTCTTTTCTCTCTGTAACCATTTCTTTGAAAATGTCTAAATTGTACATTTCAAAATTGTTTCTCCTTCTAAAAAGCTTTTTTTAAGAAAAAACAACCAAAAAAAAACAATGTTGTCTTTTAAATGAGTGTAAAGAACCAAGATGGAATTTCATAGACAACAGCAAGTGATTATCGCAGAATTTTTTTTCAATATAGGGTACGATATCATTGAGATGAAATATATGGAGATAATTTCAACAGTATTAAAGATCAAATGCCCATTAAACAATACCAAATTGGAACAGAGCAAACACGAACCTCCAATACATAGTGGGATCAGGTGTCATGGAGGAGTGAGCATTCTCTGCCGACTGTCACACCTGCAGTGTGTTCCTTGTCATGGTCGCGAAATGACGGATTCATTTAAGAGATCTACTGAATAATTAATCAAATCTATTTTTCTATCTTTATTATGCCCATGTTTTCCCAATTACAATTTTACAGAAGAAAGAAAAAATCAACTTCATCATATGCGAACAGTATAAGCATATTACAAATGTACATATTTAATCAAATAAACTTAGAAATGCTAGAATTTTAAACTCTGGTCATAATTAGAAAGAATAAAGCCAAGATTTTCATGTACAATATTGGAAAACAAATGTTTGTGAAACATGATGGCAATACAAAAATCAAGATAATTTGGCAACTTAATCTCTTATACTGAAATTATTGTTTTTAGAGTATATATCCAAGTTTGATATTGTGATATTTTTCCATTTGTTGAACTTATTCAATAAATAATTCATCAGAACAAAGAGCTAGAGTTTTCCCAGCTAAATCTTCCTTGGAAAGATGTCCCTGGAAAACTTCTCGGAGAGAACTCGATCTATATCTCTCAATCACATAGTAGATTGTTCTCTTCATGTACTCACACCTATCTATAACTTGCATCCATTCATCCTGATTTAATTCAGATGCCTCGATAATGGTTGTTTTCATATATTTTATAATTCTATGCCATAATTTTATCCAACAAAGTGCAAATATAACAGTCAGTTCTTCGTGTGATGAACATTTAGTTTTAAATTCTGGCCATGCGAAACACGGAACTTCTAAGACATAACCCCAGGTGTTTATGCTTCTGGCAAAAAATGTCGGCATTTTGATGTCAAAGAGTGAATTGGCCAAATAGTCTAAAATATCATGTATACATGGGGCGTGTAGTTTACAATGTACACATTCATTTCCCCCGTACACATGAAATAGGAAAGCTGATTTTAGCACGTACGAAGAGACATTCATACACTTTCCTGTTAAATCGTTTTCTCCTATCAAAAGAGATTTTAGAATTTTATATGTCTCTTTATGATGTTCGTCCATGTTCTTCATAAGTTCAAGTTCCATTGCCGCGAACGATATAAACAAACATGGTGGTTCCGGGAAATGATCCACATGACACGATTTGGTTACAATGTGACATCCATGTTTAAGAAGTAATTCCTTAAAATCAGGTGGAAAGTCAGAAAAAGAGGCAACCATTTCTAGATTCGGATGTTCAATTGCCAACATTAAATCAACGCCAATAGTCGTATTTTCTATGGGGACAAGCGGATTTTTTACTTTATAGTCTGATTCCGGAATATGGAACTTTTTCTCATAATTGAAATATGATTTTTATTTCAAATCGACAGGATGCATTGTAAATATCTTTCCTGGATGTTTTTCTACACCCAATTGTGTAGCCTCCAGATTTGCGGTAATTTTTTTCCAGAAATCCAAGGCAAATGACTGTCGGTTTCCAAAATAATTTTCGAACATATGATTTGTGGCATGACAATGGAGCAAATAAGGTTGAAAAATGTCAATTAGGGCACTTGTGGACTTGAGTTGAATTTTCCAGTACCACTGATTGCATCCGCTTTGAAGAATTATTGAATCTGGTGTTGAAAGTGTTTTCAAAACCACCATGAAGTCGAATTCATTAACAGAACCTATTTTGGTTCCTTCAAAGAAGCTACCGACGGGTAATATTTTTGGAGAATTGGAATTCTGGACTTTTTTCAGCTACAGTATGTAATATTTTCTCCACCAGTTCCTGGACTCCTGTTTCGATGTCTCTTTTCTCGTCATCCTTCTCTTTGACGAGGCAGCGACTACGGAACACGTGTCGTAAGAAAGCCCTCTGCTTAAGTCTTATCTTTTGGTTCTAAAAATGAATTGTAAAGACATCTGTCACTTACTTTACATGATAATTGAAAAAACACAAATTTTTGACGCATGCCTACTTTGAACATTTAAAGTTCAACCGATGAGGAATTTCAAAATTTGTAGAAATTGCTTTCTTTTGGAGAAAAAATGGAGACCTTTTCATACCTAATAAGGTTCCCGTTACTCTCTGGTGGTTTCGACAGTTATATCAATATTACATGTTTAAAGAGTGAATGAGAAAAAAAATGATCAGAAAGATGCTACAGTGTATCTAATGTATCTGAAATATATTTTTCAGAAATAGGTGTAGATGAGATAATTTTCATTTACATTGGGTGCGTTCTCAGTTCTACCATTACTACCAACTTTCAATATACCATTGGTGCAATAATTTGACAATGGTACCAACTGTACCAATAAACCATGAACGGATATCGGCATACAAATGTAACAATTTTACCAATGTTACCAATGGGAGTCCAATGGAGACGTTGGTAATACTGAATTACAGATTTCTTTGTCTTCTAAGTTACTGGCGCATGTCAGAATCGCAAGAAATTCATAGCAGACTCATATCCGAGAAACAACCCACATTAGGATCACACTTCTTTAGTTGCCATATCTATGAGTTTTATATAATCCATTTAATGGATCATGTCTAAATCATACTTCAAAATCGTGAATTTAAGTGTTTGATATGATTTTTATGTGATTTTGGCATGATTTGTTAAAAAGGCTTAGAGGAAATATAGTTTATATCATTGTGAATCCAGGATCCATGTCTTTCTAGCTTGTTGCCATGTCCATAACTGGCTGTGACGTCATTTACCAACATTAACCACACTCTAGACTGTCTGCAGAAAAACATACCATTGGCAAAAAACATTGGTACCAGTGGCATGCCAATGGTAATTAATTTTACCAACGGCAACTTTTGTCTACCAACGGCAGAACTGTGAACGCACCCATTGTTTCCTATCCAGTCCTTGCCTTCAGTGTTTCTACAGTGTATACATAAAACCCGGTAGCAAACTGTATACATAAAGTAAATTGTGTTGCTCCTAAATAATAGATACAATACATACCCATTCTACACAATACATTATTATAATATTATTAATACTTCCTCTTTCGTTTTAAATCTGATGCTGTACAAAATGTGTACCTTAGGATTAATAATAGAATGTTATTTGGAAATCTTTTGAATTCCGTTGAAAACTTGGAATTTTTTAAAGAATGGTTAAAGTATTCCATAGGCGCTCCCCATGTAATTCTGTAAATGACGTATGATAAGTATATATAGGTCTACCCCTCTATACTATAAAATATCCCCTTGGATATTTTATAGTATAGAGGGGTAGACCTATATATACTTATCATACGTCATTTACAGAATTACATGGGGAGCGCCTATATAGTATTCGTTCTTTTTTTTTTTGGGGGGGGGGGGGTATAAAAGGTTGAAGGGAGGGAACTGTTCTCCAAATCTGTCCTTCAAAATTGTTGAATTTGGTAAAACATTACAGATAATATCTATTATATATTATATAAATTGAACAATAGTTATCTAACAAAATACAAATTAATTTCATATTTAAACAGTGATCCGTTTATTAATAAAGATATATATATATGGTAGTCCGAGTTTGTTATAGTTCGGTTTAGTCCGAGTTTGTTATAATCCGACATTGTTATGGTCCGACTTATCTGTCAGCGGTCCGTCTCGAATCATAAAGGGACAGACCTACTTTCGTTAAAATTTCTCTGTGGTCAGTAAAACGTTTAGATACGCGTTATTTGCGTTTTATAAATCGAAACTTTGAAAAGACAAACAGTTGTAAACAAAAATGGCTACCGATGCATCCTCGTCAGCGAATCCAGTGGTAATAATTGTTAAATTTTGAAATCTATTTGTCAAAATAGTTGATAAATGGTCAGGAGTATTCAAGAAATATTCCAAAATTTTAATTAGAATCAGCAAATGTAGTTGTCTTGTATCATTTTGTCATGAAGGAAATTAAAAAAAGGTACATCTACAGCAGTGTACAGTGCAGTGTTTTCAGGAAGTTGTTCAAGCAGTCAAGCTTAAGTAAAACTAAAGTCGTCTTTCTGGACTTCTTTCTGTTTGAATTATGTTTGAATTATGTATCTAGAAAAAGTTCAAATATGGCATATTTAGTAGGCTTGGTGTAAAATTCTTAGGATGGAAAATTTAAAATGACTCCAATTCCAACATCACAAGGGATTTGACACAAAATTTGTCTCTCCAGTACATGTGTATTTTTAACAGTATTCAATATTTTATACATTTATAATATGATTCTTGTTTTGCGACCATTTTTTTTATGGCCAAATGAAAGTCCCTTTGCTTAAATGAATGCATCAACCGCATGTGTCATTGGTACTGTGTTACATGACTGTTGTCAGAAATATAGATTTCCCAAATTTTAATGTTGTTAATTTCAAATTCAATGCCTAAAAGTAATAGGGCTGATTTCAATCAGTTTATGATTATTTTTCTGCAATAAGCAGATTAATTCATTAAATCAAGGCAAGTTTATTTTAAAACTTTTGTCGTTATTCTCGCGTGAACGTGGCTTTATTTTGTGTTCTGACTTTGCATTTCTTTCCCATTTTACTCTTTTCCAAATTTTTTATGCTGTGCAATAGTCGGAATTTTCTGTTCTGACACAAAATTTGTAGTGCATGTCGCAGTGACGACGAGCGTCGCTGTATTGAATATTTTGTACATTTATATTATCATGATTAACAATTAGGAAATAAAATTAGTTACAAACTAATTAATGTAATTGGACTGAGTACTAATTAATGAATTAAATTCAATAGGAACCTAGTGACTTTACAAACATTTCACTGGAGGGTGACCCTGAACCACCCAAAAAGAAAACTCCACGGAGGTTGATCTACTGCAGTGATGGAGTTTTAGAAGAATACTCAACAGATGAAGAGGAGGAGAAACCCCCAGAACCAAAGATCAACCCGGTAAGGACTGTAATATAATCTGATCTAAGTACTCAAAAGTACAGAGACCTAGGCTCATTTACAGATTAGAGAGTCAACTGTTTCTACAAGAAATAAATATTGTACTAACAGTTACTTAAAAGAAGGCTCCAACAGAATGTGGAAAACTATATAATATAAAAGAATGGATAGGTCTTCAAGGTTACTCTGGCATTTAGCATTAAAAAAAACTGTCAAAAAATAGAATTCAGTTACAATTTAACAATACATCAAATGTAACATTGAACCCTTTAACATTGCTCAAATTAAAAGAGTCTGAATTTACATGATGTTTCTATTTGATGCAGGTGTGAGACAGTCTGTATTTAACAACAGTTTTCTCATAATTTCAGGTGCTTTTATCACTTGCTATTTTTACTAGCTGCTAACTTTCTAAAAGTCCTGAGCCCCTTTTACAAAAGAACTTACAACTATTATATACCAAAATTAAATTATGCTGATTACTTGCTGTTTTACATATTTATCTTTTATTTTAGAAAGAGCTGAATTGGTTGCCTTGGTTTTGGTATTACATTGTGAACACAGCAAAAGGAACACTATATGGTATAATGCAATTAAATTACAGTTACAAGATTTAAAGATTTAAAACTGATCATCAGGACAACTCTTATAATTACTGAGTCAGAGTAGTTAATTGGAATGTTTTTTGTATCAGCATTCAGATCAGTACCAGAAAACAATGATAATTTTTTTTTTCTATGAATATAACTAGCAAGTCTAATTTGAAATCTATTAAAATATCATACCAAAAAATTGTTACTATAACTTTCTATATACTTTGGATAGTGGCAGACACTTGTGGAGAAAAGCTAGCATGGTTTTTTGGCATCACCACACCAAAATATCAGTATGCAATAGATGAATACTACCGTCTTAAAGAAGAGGTAAGTTTGTATCTCAGGAAAATCAGTGTGTAATGAAGAAAAATAGCCATTATTTGCTGATGTTTAAGAAAAAGAATTAAAACTTTCTTTGGATGAAAATTACTGTACACTCCATTTAGAACCCATTGTCAGCATATTTTAGAACTTTTTGATAAATTTGATTTTTCCATAAAATGGCATGAAGATATACCAATTGATTGATCAACACTTGATTTTCAATTTGAAGCTTATAAAGCTTTTGCTTTCATTCGTATTCATAACTTAAAATTTTATTATTGTTTTCAGTTTCTTAATTTCAAAACAGGCATAATTAGTACTTTCCGGGAAGAAAAATACATGTTACCCTCCTAGATTAAAAAATATAAACCTGTCTTGTTTTCAGAAACAGTTTATCATATAATGTTGCATATTTTAGGAGGAGAGAGAAAAGTGCTCTATATTAAATATTGAAAAATAGCTTTAAAAATTGTTTTTGACACTTTTTCAGAATATGAGGAAATTGTCGCAATTTGTGACGTCATATAAACTAGCCAGAAAATTACGTCATTTTTGATAGATATGCAGTCACCAAAGATCTAAGGAATATTCAATGCACTGTTACTAAAACTAATTTGTTCTTGAAAACTGGGCAAAATCCAAATCAAAGCATTCATCAGGATTTAAGAAGGGATCAGATATAATACATTTGTATATTTATTATATTTCTAATTTTTTGTATGAATGGTGGTGTTCACTAATTAACAATATGTGATTATAGAATCTCTGGTTCTTTAAAGTCCATTGTAAAGTTTTTAAAAAAATGCTAGCCCTGTTGCCTTTTTTTAAATACAGACTACATTTCTCTTGAAAAAGATTTCTTCTTAAAGAATCAAAATATCAAATCATGATTTAGCATAATGAAAGCATTCTTAATTTGAAATTTGATATTTTGTTTTATTTCTGCATCATTTATAGACATACTTGTATGACATAGACATTATTTATAAAATAATGTATATTTATATATGGTAATACTAAATTTTTAGCTCTTCTGGGCCAAAAGTTTATAGAGCCAATGCTATGGCCATTTATGCAAGTCAGTAAACTTTTTGGGAAATAGGCCATATCTCAAGAACCTCTTGGCTATTTTTTGTCATTTTTTTCACAGAAATTTCTTACCTCAATTTAAGGACATAATTTTTTTTCTCTAAAGACATGCTGATTAACACACCAGGTTTCCGTTAAGCATATATCGCTTTTGTTTCAGAATTTATTTTTGTATTCCATGTGTATTTACTATTCCATGATCTTTTTCTGAACTGTGTTGTACTGGTAAGGCCCATGGGCCTGTTGTTTTTTTAAGATTGTAAAACACATTAATTAACAGGTGTTCATATTGTCTTAATTTAGGTGTGCAGTATGATTTCTATTTAAATGTTGACTTGGGTGCGTATCATTACCGCTACATTTTCAAAATTTTCATAACAGCTACATAGACATTACCGCTACAAAAATATATTACATTACCGTATATTTATTAAAATGTTTACATTTTTTGTACATTGGTATTTCGTTAGCATGTCACTTGTGCATGTACAGATTGATGTAAAGTACAACATATACATGCATAAGACCCGTATTCCCTGAAATAAAAAATCCCACATTCACACGTGACTCCAAATTATGTAGAATGAGATACAAATCATGGAGTCAGGACTAAGTATTACTTTCAAATATTTGATGTAGTTTATGCTTACATGGCAGCAACCTAACGTTTTATTTGATACTGCCAAATATATTATTGTATACAGGGAAATTTTTGCCCCCGTTTAATTTTCGCACCATTTATAGCCCTTGTATGGCGTGGGTAGACATTATTTAATAAATGTAAACTTTTTTATATAAGAATCTTTTTGGGCGAATTTAAAACGGGGCAAACTTGTTTTGCAAGTCAGTAAACTTTTTGGAGAATGGCGAAAATAACCCTGTATTTTTTGTACAGTTTTTTTCGGTAACCGTAATTTCTTACCTAATTTAAAACGTCGTGCTGATATCTTTGTGAAAGCTTTGTGATTGGAACTTGTATTTCGCACCTGCATACCTTGCTGATTCCATATGTATTGGTAATGAGTTGTTTTCGACTAGAAAAATGTAGCGGTAATGATCGGTCGAAAATTTGGAAAAACGTAGCGGTAATGAGTTGGAATTTTTGGCAATGTAGCAGTAATGTTGACCTCCCGTTAACTTATACAGTATGTTGGAATTTTTATTGTTGTTAAATATGTATAACATACCTTGATTTTTGTTTTAAAGTAAAGTTTCTTAAAGTTGTATCTATCAATTTTTTTTTTCATTTTGTGGAACAGAATGCACTACTGCACATAAAAATGTTGTTGAAAATTCGAAGTTCTAGAATTATAAGAGAAACTCACGAGGAAGATTCTTTCTAAAAACTCATCATTTTTATATGTTTGAGAGAAAATCATAAGAGTCTTGACTACGGTTCCCAAAACTTTTATGTTGATCCAAAATGCAGTTTGAATTTTAGAAACTTGTGTTATTTTTTTTATGGAGAGGACCTGAGGAGGTTAAATTATTATAAAGTATTCTTAACCTTTTATAAACTTGTATTTGTAACAAACTTCACTCATTTAGCTTGTTTTTGACCTTTGGGTCAAGGGTCAATGTTCATTGTTTTGAAATATTTCTACATTCTATCCTAAGATGCTAAAACTAAGACATCTACCAATATACCTATTTTACTCCTGACTCTTTCGTTGGGGTCAAGGACAAAGATCAAAATACAATATCATATATGACCTATGTCAGCGCTTACTCTAAGTTGCGATGATTTTGACCTTGACTCAAATTCAAGGTCACAGGTAAATTACAGTCACACCGGCCGATTCGTACCCCATAGGTGAACGTGACGAAATCAGCCGAGGTTTGCCGAATGATTGCAGCCAGTCTAATGTTTCTGATAATCACAATTTAAAAATTAGGCTCTGATGATGAAAGCTCGAGATTTTAAGGGGTTGTACCTGTTTTTGCAATGAATAATTTGGAAATCACGTAAAGAAAAGGAGGCATGCAGTGATGTAGGTTTCGTATCAGTATCATTTACGGTGGAGTAGCGATAACAAAGTTTATTGTGCAGTGGGCACTTATAATTAAAAAATGAGATGGGTCTGGGAATTAATTCTGCATGTGGTAATCTAAATTATACCTATAGTTCCATTTCCAAGTAGGAAATTCTTTTAAATCATGGGTCAATTTTGAATATTTTTGGATGTTCCCAATAATCAACTTGAATTTGACTAATTACCCTTCTACTGGATACCTAAGGCCATCTTAAAAATGATGTTTGCTTGCCCTCTCCCGACCCAGGTAAAATTATTGGATCGGTTAGTTGGTGGTAAAATCTTTTTTCCAGAAAAGTTGAACATTTTTGTTGACTGATAAGAAGAATACCTAGGAGGAAATATACAAGAGTCCAGGAATGTGAAAAAAGTTTTGATTGGGGCCATTCTTAGTCATTCGGTCGGGAGAGGGCAACCAAAAAATTTTTAAAGATGGCTTAAACTTCATAAAAATCCTTACAAAGGTTCATATTGGTTTTGAGTACATGCGTGGATGTAAGAAGGGAGGGGGGGGTAACCTTGTTGTTGTCAAGAAATATCAAAATCTTATACAACCATTCTCCGCGATAAATTAAAATACATGGGCATTCTGACATTAAAAAAATGCTGTCATTTTGTATACATGTACATGTACCATGTATAGTGAATCAATTTTTATATAATAAAAAAATTGACAAAAAAATTCTGAGTTAACGATTTCATCCACATATTTCAAATTTTGTAAGTGAAAATGAAATATGACCATTTGGTATTTGATCTCAATCTTTTTTCTAAACTATAAAAGAATAATTGCTATGCAAGTATATGGGCTTTTTGACATAAAAAAAAAATGCTTTCATTTTGTATACATGTACATGTACCATGTTTGGTGAATCAATTTTTATATAATAAAAAAATGACAAAAATTCTGAGTTACACGATGCAGAAAATAATAATTCTTCAAATTAATAAATATGCTATTAAAAATTTTTTTACCATATATTTCAAATTTTGTTTGAATGTGTTGAAAAAAGAAATAATCGTCTACTTTCGTTTGTGGGAAATATAAAAACAGAGAGTGACAGTCATTTTTTATTAGTGATTCAAGACAAGTGAAGATGTCCAGCAATTTTGGAGCTTCTGTTCAGTAAGTGGATTTTTAAAAATCAATTAAACTATAATTTATTATTTTCTGAATAATTGCTATGCATGTAGCATGTAATTAAAGGCGAAAAAATGTGAAGGGACAGCGATTTAGAGAAAATCGGACGGTGCTCACGCTCAAAAGGTGGGCGTGGTCGCATGTCGCAAAATCACACTGCAATCAGTTTCTTAGAAAATAATTGTGAATTATATGGGTGCTGCCTTTTTAATATTTTGTAATTAAATTCTTTTTAATGTTTCATTTTGTGTTTACTGCTATTTTACGACAAATAAGCCCAGCATGAATCCGGAAGTCGCACGTGGGACGATCTCGTGGCATTGTTTGTTGACGCCATATTGACCTACCACTGGGAGAAGGAGAAGTTGACTTGAATGGGCGTATAAGCCAACCATGAGCGATGAGGATAGAGATGTAGAGATAGAGAGTGATGTATGTATTCCCCAATCAATTGCAATAATCGTATTTTATCTATTTATCCATATTTTTTTTAAGAAAGCGTGTCTGTTTTCTAGGTTAATATATGAGTCTCGTTTTCGTTTTCTAAATAGGAAGATGACGACGAATTAGGGGGGTCAATTAACTCTGATGGAACTGCTACACAGTTTATGAGCCAGGTAAGACAAAATATTTTATTAATTTTTGGGGAAATATTTTGAGAAATTGATCTTTTTGGTTGAACTGCCTGGTTTGCACGCCTGGTAGCCATGCTGTAGAATGCGCATGTCATATGTTTGTTGGCAAACACGAACCACGTGACATCTTAGGAGTTCACTAACCAATTGGTCATGTATTTCTGTCATTTCATGTGTACAATATTTGTGCATATGTTTTGGCTTATGTTTTACTAAAGCTATTCTGAAGCTAAGATTGCTTGAGTTAATGAGGTGTCCATGAGACCTATCTTTGTCTATCAAAATCTAATGATCAGATAATATATCAAAATGATGAAAGGTAAATTGTTATAATATACTGTATTACAACAGCAGGTACATGTGCATGTTGAGTAGGCTGTCCTGGTTTAATGATTAGGTAACACTCAGTCGTATAAGATTTCATGATGTAACCTGTATCCTGATAGTCTGACATGCATTGAGCAGTGCTTACATAACCAGACCTCACTGATGGGTTTTGATACAAGTTAACCAAGTTGAAAATAAAGTCATTAATATTTCACCAACATTAGACCAAAAAGGC